GAAAAAGTGTGATATCTATTAAAGATTGGGGAGGCAGGACATACCTAGAGATGCTATCAGTGTGGCTACTTCCAAGTTCCTGAAGGAACTCAGGAGTTTTTGATAAAACAAGTCATTAATACTAAATCATCCTCCATGGTCTGCTAAGGCCCCCAAACTCTATTAACTACAGGAGAGGAGTAGGAAAAGAGATAATTATTCAGGTGATTCTTCTGAAAGAAACAGCTGGACATATTCCAGAGCAGGCCAACTGGGGCTGGAGTGTACTGGTCTTAGTTTTTCAAATAACCATCTGGGTGTCTTCAAGTAAGTCATTTGCACATTCAAAATGTCTTGTTTTCTTGTCAAATGCAACATTTGGGCCAAAATCTCCACCAGCTGTAAAATTCTAAAAATCTCTAAGTAATAGTTTACTGCGTTGTTGGCAGACTGCCTTGATAATCAGAAAGATCCAATTAATACTCGTAGTGTGGAATATTCTATTTGTAGTTTCAAAAAATGTACTGTTTTGGAATGGAAGGAGTTCAGATCATGAAATCCAGTCACTTTGTCTTTTAAAACAAAGCTGAGGCTCCAAAATGCTAAATAACTCTCCTAAATTATGAGCTAATTAGTGGCAGAGGCAAGACCAACCAAGGCTGCCTGACCAGTCCTGTTGGCACTAACCCACATTGTTAGCCAGTAGGCTTCAGACTGTTTTCTCCACTAGAAGCTGCTTCCCCCTCCCCATATAATCCACAGTGTGGCTTTTATGTCTCCCGTTAAACGCAGCCCACATCACAGCTGTGCTTTACTGGTCTCAGAGTTATTAGTTTTCCAGGCACCTAATCCAGGAGACATTTAAAGAATGACCTGAAGGTTTCGTGAAAATGTGCCCAGGATAAAATACTTTTAGAAGCCCTTTGAGGTTTGTCTGAAAGGGCAAATATCTACACACTATCCACTTGCTTCCCATTTTATACGCAAAGGAGTATTTTATGGGTAGGAAGATCCTTGAGAACCCACGCCTGACTTAACAACTTTAGAAACCAGAACACAGTCCCCATTGAATTAAACACTTTGTCACTCTGGCTTCTGGCCACTGTGACAGCAAGACAGTACCCCTGGAACATATGTGGGGACTCCACAGGTAGGGACCCACACCACCTGATGGCACAGGTCCTGCCCCACCAGCCCCTCATGTGGACACTGCATCTATTTCTGGCTGTGGCTGCCGGGCATGACAAAGGTGACACCAGAAAACTGCTCCCGCCACTTCCCCAGGTATGGAATCTTTGGAGGGACTGCTCTGAAAATATTTTAAGGACAACCTAGGAATTTCTGTGCAGCAGCAATGCCACATGCCACCCAGTATGCTGCAATTTGTTCCAACATGAGACAATTTGTTCCAAAGAGTACAACTGGCTGCTAGACATCAAACCCTATATGATGTTGGATCCAGCGACTCAGTTGAATCTCTCAGACATAATGATGTGTGAAAGAAGCCAGGCACAAACGAGTACGTGCTGCAGGATTCCATCCATATAAAATCAAAATAAAATGAAAAGCAGCATAACCAATCTGTTACAGAACACTGATAAAAGTCCAAATGACAGTTCCTTCTTGGGTGGGGCATATTGATTGGAAAGGGGAACAGGGAGCCTCCATGGTGCTGGAAATGCTAAATTTCTTTCTTTCTTTTTTTCTTGCAGTTTTTGGCTGGGGCTGGGTCTGAACCCACCACCTCTGGCACATGGGGCTGGCGCCCCACTCCTTTGAGCCACAGGCGCCGCCCAATGCTAAATTTCTTGATCTAGGTAGTAGTTATACATGTGTAAAAGTATTTAAAAGTTCATCAAACACTCCATGTCAGATGTGTGTGCAGTGCAGTGTATGTGTGTCATACCTCAACAAAAAAATTAATTAAAATTATTAATTAAAAAAAAATTAATTAAAAGTGGAGTCCCCTGATGTAAATGGAGAATATACTTCTTCCTTTCCTTTAGCATTTTGGGGATTTTCTGAACTGAGTGTGTATGTATTGTGCTATTATTAGTAATAACAATAGCTAAATTAAATGCCTATCTATACCAGGGCCCTGTGCATGGAGACTTGAATGAATTACCTCCTTCAAGTCCTCAAAACAGCTCCGTGAGGTAAACACCATGTATGTCCCCCTTTCAGAGAGGAGAAAGTGAGGCACAGGGAAGTGAAGTTCCTCATCCAAAGTTACACAGCAAATACAATGGCAGAACTGGGAATTGAACCCAAAGTAGTCAGACTCCAGAGCCTCTGTTCTTAATTGACCTTAATGTTTCATCATATGCTGCAGGATAAGGAGATTTTTAAAAGTTTGATGATATTTAACTGGTTTTGTCTTTTCCCCAGTACCTGAGAAGCTCCTTAATCTTCTAACACAGTCTGCATGTTGAGCATTCAGATAAAAAGAAGCATGGCCTGGGCAATGGGTCTGACCCCTCAGAACCAACTCAATCCTGAGTTCAGGAGATGCCAGTGGGGTAGTCAGAGCATCTATGCTCTCGGCCCTTAGTAGAGGAAGTGACGCCATTACTGGTCTGGTGCAGTCTGACACTATTCCTTTCCCTTACAAAAGACACACAGTGGGGTAACAGAGTATTTTTACATGTGAGTCACAGTGGCTTTCTGGAATACCATGTTCTAGAACAAAATTTCCATAACATGCCACACATTTTCAAGATCTGCTTTAGGCCTTTTAACAAGATATTTTCTTGGTTTTCTCGCTTTTATATTGTTATTATATTAAATAAAATGTATCTGTAACACTTGGAGAAGGCATTAACCACTCTTTAATTATGCAATGCATAGCTTGCTATTTTCCAGATATCCCTTTTTTTTTTTTTTGAGACAGAGTCTCAAGCTGTCACCCTGGGTAGAGTGCTGTGGTGTCACAGCTGATAGCAACCTCAAATTCTTGGGCTTAAGCAATTCTCTTGCCTCAGCTTCCCAAGTAACTGTGACTATAGGTGCCCGCCACAACACCTGGCTATTTTTTGGTTATAGTTGTCATTGTTGTTTAGCTGGCCCAAGCTGGATTCAAACCCACCAGCTCTGATGTATGTGGCTGGCACCCTAGCTGCTTGAGCTACAGGAGCTGAGCCAGACACCCTTTTTTATTTTTCATGGCCTTCTCCATTAGTTTCTCTTAAGTTCTTATATGAAAATCTGTTAGATCACTGATTTCTGGATTAAAAGGAGCCATAAACTACAGACTCTCCAAAAATCCAATCCAGGGGCAGGGGAGAGGTGGCAGAAAGCAATGTAATGACATTTTAGACCTTATCTATAACCAGGCCCATGATATAAATTAGCTTGGGCTCCAAAACGTGAATACAGAGTTATCCCAATTCCACCCCAGCTCACTACAATGATTCCTGATGAACTTACTTTTCAAGTAACTTGAAAAAGTGATTGTTGAAATTTTCAGTAAGAAATTGGTCTTATCCCACGCTATCCCAATGACCTGTGTCCCTGCTGTCCAGGCTCTGATAGGTCACAACCCTGCCCTCACCAGCCCCAGCTCCAGAGCTAAGCCGAGCAAGAGCAGCTCACTGAGCATCAATCTCAGGATCAAGGTCAGCGCTGCCTCCCCTGAACAGGGTGTCAGGTGCTGGACAACATGCTTCCTATCTGCCCTCTGCACTTCTGTGCTCTACCAATGATGTTCTGCCAGACTCCAATCCTCCACCCAGCCCATCTACAGCAGTCTTCCTACCTCCAGCCAGCCCCAGAGCATGGTCCCATTCCCTACACATCTGGGATCTACCCATTGTGGCAGGATGAATTTCTCAGAACCACTCCTTCTGAGTAATGTCTAAGGAGGCCTTGCCTAAATCACCAGAACATGCTGGCTTTTGGCTACACAGCAGAGCTGGCCTCACTCACTGGGGCTTCTCCCCACCACTTGATCTGGGGCCACGAGAAGCCTATTTCGCCTAGCTTCCCCACAGGTGCCAGGTCTACCAGACCCACCAGGGCCCCACATTGCCTAAAAGCCCACCCAGTGACTTTGCTCCACTGCCCCATAAATTCAGGTTCTATGATCCAGAACCTCTGCATGCAACAAAATTGACATTCTCTGTTTTCAACAAGCTGTGAGTGATTTCAAAGAAGTTTAAACTGCTAAGACATCAGTGTGAACAGAGCATGGAAGGGAGTCAAGTACCCAGCTTTTGCATCTCAGCCAAGCACAGCCTATTCTCCAGTTAGCCTTCCTAAAGTGATTCACACACACACACACACACACACACACACCCCCCAAAGAGACAAATATACCTTGTTCTTTTCTGAAAATGGACTTGAAAAAAGAAAAAAAAACACTAAAAGCTAAGAAGGCAGAGAAGTAATACTAAATTATGAAACACAGCTTTGGGATAATTTCAGAATTGAATGATAAATTTGGTGATAGCTAAAATGAACACAGACATCATATATTTCTTATAGAAATAAGAAAATGTGATTCTCAAGCAAATGCTCCAACTAGAGCAAGAACTGCACATTGTACAGGAAATTATAAGTAAACATGGGATCCTTCAAGAGCATCCAGGGAGCCAGGTGCAGTGGCTCAGGCCTGTAATCCCAGCACTCTGGGAGGCTGAGGTGAGTGGATTGCTTGAGCTCAGGAGAGGAGTTAGGACGAGCTCGAAAAAGAACAAGACCCCATCTCCAAAAAAAAATAGAAAAATTAGCCAGGCATCATGGCAGGCACCTACAGCCCCAGCTACTCAGAAGGCTGAGGCAGGAGGATGGCTTCACCCCCGGACTTTGAGGTTGCTGTGAACTAGGACACCACAGCACTCCATCCAGGGTGACAGAGTGAGACTCTGTGTCAAAAAGTTAAAAAAAAAAAGAGCATCAAGGGTCTACTATACTAGTATTGCCAAGAGGAAAATGTAATTATTTTGAAGGTCCTTTTGATATACTGCTTCCTGCCCACTGGCAAATGGCAAAGCCAAAGGTAAGGACTTGTATGGTGTTCTTACCTGGTCATCATAGCGATAAGTAAGGAATTGCTCCCCTGTTGTATCTTCAAGAAAACTTCCCTGAGGAGAGAGTGCAAACTCGGGAAGGAAATAGGCTCCCGGAGACTTCTCTGCTGTGGTCTGAAAGACAAGATCACTTGGTCAAAAAAGGCTCCCGTAGGGACCCCCTGATGGGCAAAGTCCAAACTGGACATTCCAAAAGAAATAACCCAGTAAATGCTATGCCAAGAAAAGAAAAGGAAGTTCTCTCTCTCAGCAAAGACCAAGGTGAGGCACACCAAGCATCTGTGTGGGACACTGTCAGGCCATTCCAAATGGGCACAAGCATCTATTCCCTGATTCCTGCCTTTCTCGCTCTCCTGCTGTCTCCACTTTCTATCTGCCAGCAATCCAGCCACAGGGTTAACTTTAAGTTTTGTAGTTGCCAATCTATTGTTTTTAGAGTTCCTTCTTTCCTGCCTTCCTCTCTCCCTTTCTTCCTTTTACATTGGCAAAAGAGTGGAAAACAAATATTCTTCAATATTACAAAAGAAATGCATGTGCATTGCAGAAAATTGAGAAAATACAGACAAGTGCAAAAGACAATAAAAATCACCCATAATTCTTCAACCTGTAATAACTACTTTTAATTGTTTGGTATATTTCCTTTGAGACTTTTTTTCTCATAATGCTTTCATATGTTTATATAAAAATCTAAGGTTTGATAAACATGCTTTTAGATCTTGGCACCCAAATTTTTATATTAAAGCCTCAATTGTTGGAGTCTAAGGGGAGTCAGGAAGAAGGGCCTCCTTTTGGAGGGAATGTGCCTTGGATATGTGGGTCACTGTGAAAGTATTACATATAGGCGAAACGCCTATATGCCTCTGGCCAAAAAAGCTGTTTGAGAGAGAGCAGGGAAAGACTTTGTGCAGGCATACTTAAGAAACTGAGGCAGAATCCCATGTGGCCAGGTTATTTGTGGGCCTAACATGATATTAAGGAATTAAGGTTGACTTTCTTTTGAGAAGTCCAGCCTGAGAATTCCTTGTAAAAGGCTCCAGCAAAGGCCTACATGGGAGCAGAGGTTTGCACATAAACTCCTATATGCCCAAAAAGTTTCTCTATGCTTTGCTTAAAGATTAGAAGTAACTGCCTCCAAATGGCATGGTCAGTAGAACAGACATTCAAATCGTCTCTTTCCTCTGTAGCCTCAGGCTTCATCAGATAAGAACAAAGAAAGTAATAACTGACAACATGTTCTTCATTAAGTTATGTTAAACCGGGTTATGTTGAAAGGGTTATGCTTAAAAGTGTCTGTTGGGTGGATTATCAGATTACCAGGGAGGAGCTACTTACAGGGCGGGTGGTCATAAGCTATTTAAATGGATCAATGAGGCCATTGCTGCATTGTGCTCATGTACAAAATTCCCTATATAAACCAACCACAAATAAAGAAGCTCGCCATTTTGCCTGAGCGAGCAGATGATCACATTTATTTAAAACACAATTTCAGTAAGCGTGCTTATTCTTCACAACATCGCTTTTCCATGAGACTCTTATGGCAACAATTATAGTCCATTATTTCACTTCCAAGAAACACAGTCAACAGTGTCCTTCCTGATTGACCTGTGGAAGTTTCAACTTGCTTGGCTTATGGGTGTTGCTGGGAGGGCTTCATTTGTCATTATCCATGTGGATTTTATATTTCTTGATGTTTTTGTATCTCAAAACTTTAGTAATGACCCACACTGACGTCTAATGGACTGGTTGCCATCATGCTGCCTCCTTCATCCTGGGAGGGCCCAACAAAGGGAAGTTTGAGGATGCAGGGTGCTTAGCAGGATCACTTCAAGGAGGAAAACAAGGAAGGAGACAGAAGCTCCAGTATTTAGTCCCACCCAATCAAAAAACGTGCATCCATGACTACGCCACCACCCGGAAACCTCAGGCCCTTGCCTGAGAAAGAATGGGTAAGAAACAGAGGAAAAGGCCACAGGAGTTTCTCTGAGGAGCAGGAAAGAAATGTCATCTTTAAAACCTCTCCTGCCCCAATGGACTCATTCCCAAACTGAAGCTATAATTGAAGCAAAAATATCCATGTGAATACTCCACTTAACAAGTGCAGTCAACACGGGATAAGTTTGTCAAGGAACATAACAGAGATCACTCCATCAGACTAGATAGTCTAGACAGTGGATTGTTCAAATAATTGCAAGATTTTCTTATTAAATTTCATTTATATGAGAAATTTGATACCATTGTTGTTAATTTCCTCTCTTATCTTCAGAAGTCATAGAATAGTCATAATTTTAAATGCCTAAGGGGACATTAGAGAAGTCACCTAGGTCAGCCTTCTGACTGTACAAACAAATAAACTAAAGACCTAAGACTTAGGAGACTTCCCAATTTCCACAGAGCCAGGACTAGAGCCAGGGCTGGAACCCTGGCAGATCCATTAGCTGGCTGCTCCTTCAACACACCCTTACTGAGCACTTGCTACATGCCTGGCAGAGTTCTCAGTGCTGTGGATACAAAGATCAGGTTCCTATTTTCAGGGAAGTTACGTTCTAGTTGAAGGGGATACATAATGGAATAAATAATCAAATAAATAAGCAAGAAAATTGAAGTTTTAAGTTTGCCAAAGTACATTAACAAAGTGATTGGAGAATAACATTCAGGAAAGGCTCTTCCATTTTAGATAAGATGGACATCCCCAAGAAGGTAAGATTTCACATAATAAGCAAAGCATAAGAAGGAGCCAGTTATGCAAAAAGCCAAGGATGAGTATTTCTGGCCAAAGTATAAGTATAAAAGCCCTAAGAAGGAGAAAGGAGGTCAGTGAGTTTAAAGAACAGAAAGGAGGTCATTAAGGCTAGATTCAGCATGGACAAGTGAGAGAGGGGCACGTGAAGTGGAGGAAGGAAGGAAGCTCCAGGATGGTCAAGGAGCTTGTGGGCCACAGCCTGGGGGAGGAGAACCACAGCTGAGTGAGTACTTAAACCATATGGACAGCTTTATGGGCAAGGGGCTAAACAGAGACAAATGGAATCATAAAGACCAGGTGGAAGGCTGTCGATAAGGACCCGGGTGAGAAGGCATGGTTCCTTGGACTGGGATGATGGCAGTAGAGAAGGAGAGAGGTGGATGGGTGAGTAGAACCCACAAGACTTTCTGCTTAGGGAGGAGAGAGAAATCAAGGGTGACTTCTGAGCTAAAAAGGAACACAAAGGATGGGTAGCCCTCATCCAGCATTGCTGGATGGGGTTGAGTCAATAGTTCTATCTGACATGTCTTTGAGACACTCATGTGGGGAGCTTGAGTTGGCCATTCAACAGGCAAATCAGAGTTCAGAAAGGATATTGGAGGCTAAGGCAGATTTGGGCACCATCATTTACATTCTCAGACACAGATACATGCACGTATTTAGGGCCATTATACTTGCCTAGAGAGTTTAACAGGCACAAGTGCCTTGGCTGGAACCCTCAATAATTCTAATATTTAAAAATAAGGAGACAAGCAAGCAAAAGAAACTAAAAATGGTCACCAACTAGAGTAGAATAAAGAAAAAAGCAAGTATTGTATCATAAAAAGATCAAGCATCAAGGAGAGCAGTGGACCGTCTCGAATGCCACTGAGGACAACGCCAGAGATGTGGCCTTTGGATCTGGCAACAAGGATGTCACTGCTGACCTTGATGAGGTTGGCCACAGTGCACTGGCAGGGACAAATAAAATGGGTTTGAATAGTGACTGGAAGTAGAGAGCCCAAAGGGAGATTTGGGCTGGGCAGTAGCTAGAGGGGAACATGGGATTGCAAGTGGATTTTTTCTTTTTTCTTTTTTTTTTTTTTTTTTTGAGAAAGAGTCTCACTTTGTCACCTTGGTGGAGTGCTCGGACATCATAGCTTACAATAACCTCAAACTCCTGGGCTGAAGTGATCCTCTTGCCTCCCCAGTAGCTGAGACTATAGGTGCTGACCACAATACCTGGCTATTGTTAGAGACAGAGTCTCACTCTTGCTCAGGCTGGTCTTGAACTCCAAGCTCAAGCAATCCACCTGCCTCAGCCTTCCAGAGTGTTGGGATTACAGGTGTGAGCCAGAAAATGGATTTTTTAAAAGATAGGAGATACTGGATTATCTGGATTTTCTAGGTTACTAGAATAATTGAATTGTGTGTGTGTGAGAGAGAGTAATGGAGGAGACAGAAGAGATAGATGCAGGAGTTAAAGCCCATGAGAAGGAAGAGAAGTAAAATCCAGATTGCATGCAGAAAGGTTGGCTTTTGTAAAGATTAGGGTGCTTGATACATGTCATTTCACATCAGGCTATGTTTCCTTGCTGGCCCAGATGCTGGGCCTCCACCTCCTGGTGCTTGCTTCTTGGATACCCTTCTACTGGGTCCCAGGGATGTTCCCAGTCCCAAAATTATCCATCTGTCCCTATCACCCACCTTGCCTGTCACATAACTTTCTTACCACTTGCTGGTTCTCTTCTCTGGGCCATTCTGCAGCTGCCCTGCATTCCCCCCAGATAACTGCCTTCTGCGGCAAGCAGGGATGGTCATAGCCTGGTGTGGATAAAATATTCTGAAGTCTCTTTCTGTAGTATTGTAACACTTCTCTGTAACCAGAGTATTTATTTACTCACCATTGTGTTTCTGCACTATTAAAAACAACCACAAACATTTCGAAAGTTCCACTGAGCTTTTCTTTCTCTGCTTAAATTCAGATTGGGTAAAATGGCATGTTAGTTGATTCCAGGCTTCTCTCTCTAAAGGTCCATTTTGGAATACACTCCGTAGGGCCAAGGACATGCCCCCACCACGTGAGCATTCCCAGAATGTGGTATGGAGAAGGCTGGTGGGTGGCACTGCCTCAGCCCTGCAGTGGAAGACCTGCTTCCTTGGCAACCCACTGCCTGGTGGGAGTTCAGGGTTACTGGTCCCCAGGGTAAACCAGATACTCCCCACACCCACGTGCATTATAGCTAAACAATCAAGATTTTATATTTGCCGCCTTTCATCAAAATCCTTACTCTCAAGTAAATTTCAATCACTCAGGAGTTGATTCTACAGCCTGGATGCCATCCAAGCCCCTCTGTCTATACATGGAGCCTTTGTGACTACCTTTAGTGATGGG